GGAAGGCAGATTCGAAGTTTTGAAGCCTAAGACGCACATGCCGGCATGCCCATGCCGGTACTCCTGCCGCGCTTTGACTTGCTTAAAGCCTCACTGTAGCCGTCGATTTCTCATATCTTCTCCATCGTTCACCTTGCCGATCGCGATTTAACAATGATAAACGCGCTCCTTCGGGATGATTTTTATGTTCACATTCAAGACTATATCACAGGAGAAGCACACGTTTCTGCTCCCTCCAGTACCATTTATCCCGGCATTTCCGATCTTCCCATACTGATGATTGTCCAGTGTACGAAGGGTTTACACGCAGCCACTCAAAAACTACCGCTTGCCGTCTGCAACTCTACCAACACACCGATCGTTGGCAAAAGGCGGAAACAGTCATCTACTCGCTTGAAAAATTGGCCACTATGCAGTAAAACGTGGACCCATCGTCACATACTAGACACGTACATCACTCCCATGCTTAATAACGAAGCCAAACAAATCAGAGAACTCGTCACCCTCCTACATCAGCATCAGGTCGCGCTTAGCTCGCTAAAACTTTTGTATACCGCCGCAACAGGCGAGCTAACACACTGTTTTTATCTGCAGCAAGCCCTCCTCAAACGCCCACGTACTATTTACGTACCTACGGACATTCAGATGGACCCCAGCTTCCGCATATCAATGAACACGGACGAATTTTGCGTCTTTCTCCCCATGTTTCAAATCAAAACTGAAGCTCCGGATAGCAACATCTACCTAAGGAAGATACCAAGCCATCATCCTCCGTAACGACCGCAAGTGTAGACATCCATACTTCTTCCGCAATCGATGCAGCCACTCCGCCAATCCGCAATCCTGCTGCTTCATCCGATATCGCTTCGTCCTCCGTGTTTGCAATTCCTTCCACCCCTCCTAACGCTACCCATTCCATGTTCAAGACCCTTCATAGCCTTACTGCGCCATTAGATGATACAAACCCCAAAGTCAGCGAACCTCATCGTCCGAAGAGAACATGTTCACACAATAATCCTTCTGCGCATGAGGATCTGACAGCAGCCGCCTTTCACCTGAGCCGCAAAGACTTGACGGCACCCACTTCAAGATCATCGCTCCCATTTCGCAGAAGACAGAAAGACAGTCCATCTTCTTTACGTACTCATAGTGGAATTTCACGACGCCGAAAAGATGATGTACTTCCTTCGTCCACTCGCAGCAGAGCATCTAGTTGACGTCGTTCACAAACATCTCCACCCCACTGCCACCCATCCTCTTCCTCTTCACAAGCGTCACCACGTCACAATCAGGCATCGCTGCTATCCATCTCCATTCCATCTCCACCCTCATCCTCATCCAAGCCATCGGATGCAGAGGTGCCGTCCCTTTCTCAGGATGCATCTTCTGTACACTGCAGCACTATAGCGTAAGATGTGACCTGGTAAAAAGCTTACGAGAGCGTTGCATTCTTTTAATCGACGAAGGAAGATGCTTCAGTTGTGTGTATGTCCACAGCCTAGGACGATGCCGCCGTCACAAGCCATGCTTCTATTGTGGTCACACTTCTCACCATCTCGCCCTCTGCTGCAGGAGCTTTCGAATCACCAACGACATAGGTAGACCCCTTCATGCCTACCGCAAATTCATCGCACAAGCTGATGCCATTTCCTTCATTCGTCAAAGTTAAACACTACCGCTTTAAGATACGCTCCTACCGCTCACTGCTCACGCTTACCCCCCTCTCACCACTAAATAGCACTACGAA